ACACTTACGTGTCACTCTCATCAACACTTGGGTGCCACTATCATCAACACTTGGGTGCCACTCTCATCAACACTTGGGTGCCACTCTCATCTACTCTTGGGTGTCACTCTCATCAACACTTGGGTGCCACTCTCATCAACACTTGGGTGCCACTCTCATCAACACTTGGGTGCCACTCTCATCAACACTTGGGTCCCACTCTCATCAACACTTGGGTGTCACTCTCATCAACACTTAGGTGTCACTCTCATCAACACTTGGGTGCCACTCTCATCAACACTTGGGTGCAACTCTCATCAACACTTGGGTGCCACTCTCATCTACTCTTGGGTGTCACTCTCATCAAGACTTGGGTGCCACTCTCAAACACACTTTGGGTGCCACTCCCCATCAAAACTTGGGTGCCACTCTCATCAACACTTGGGTGCCACTCTCATCAACACTTGGGTGTCACTCTCATCAACACTTGGGTGCCACTCTCATCAACACTTGGGTGCCACTCTCATCAACACTTGGGTGCCACTCTCATCAACACTTGGGTGCCACTCTCGTCTACACTTGGGTGCCACTCTCATCAACACTTGGGTGCCACTCTCATCTACACTTGGGTGCCACTCTCATCAACACTTGGGGGCCACCTCATCAATACTTGGTGCCACTCTCACAACACTTGGGTGCCACTCTCATCAACACTTGGGTGTCACTCCCCATCAACACTTTTGGTGCCACTTTCGTCAACACTTGGTGCCACTGTCATCAACACTTGGATGTCCCTCTCATCAACATTTGGGTGCCATTCTCATCAACACTTGGGTGCCACTCTCATCAACACTTGGGTGCCACTCTCATCAACACTTTGGTGCCACTTTCGTCAACACTTGGGTGCCACTCTCATCAACACTTGGGTGTCACTCTCATCAACACTTTGTTGCCACTTTCGTCAACACTTGGGTGCCACTCTCACCAACACTTGGGTGTCACTCTCATCAACACTTTAGTGCCACTTTCGTCAACACTTGGGTGCCACTCATGAACACTTGGGTGCCACTCTCATCAACACTTGGGTGTCACTCTCATCTACACTTGGGTGTCACTCTCATCAACACTTGGGTGCCACTCTCATCTACACTTGGGTGTCACTCTCATCTACACTTGGGTGCATGTATAAAAGTTAGATAAATCAACATTCAAGGTTTCAAGAAGCTGACATCAACACTTGGGTGCCACTCTCATCTACACTTGGGTGCAACTCTCATCAACACTTGGGTGCCACTCTCATGAACACTTTTGTCCCACTCTCATCAACACTTGGGTGTCACTCTCATCAACACTTGGGTGTCACTCTCATCAATCCTTGGGTGCCACTCTCATCAACACTTGGGTGCCACTCTCATCAACACTTGGGTGCCACTCTCATCTACACTTTTGGGGTTTACTCTCATCAACACTTGGGTTTTCCACTCTCATCAACACTTGGGTGCCACTCTCATCAACACTTGGGTGCCACTCTCATCAACACTTGGGTGCCACTCTCATCAACACTTGGGTGTCACTCTCATCAACACTTAGGTGTCACTCTCATCAACACTTGGGTGCCACCTCATCACACTTGGGTGCCACTCTCATCAACACTGGGTGCCCCTCATCTACTCTTGGGTGTCCCTCTCATCAACACTTGGGTGCCACTCTCATCAACACTTGGGTGCCACTCTCATCAACACTTGGGTGCCACTCTCATCAACACTTGGATGCCACTCTCATCAACACTTGGATGTCACTCTCATCTACACTTGGGTGTCACTCTCATCAACACTTGGGTGCCACTCTCATCTACACTTGGGGGTCACTCTCCCTCTAAAACTTGGGGGTCGCTCTCATCAACACTTGGGTACCACCTCATCTACACTTTGGGGGCAACTCTCATCAACACTTTTGGGGGCCACTCTCCCTCAACACTTGGGTCCACTCTCATCAACACTTGGGTGCCACTCTCATCAACACTTGGGTGCCACTCTCATCAACACTTGGGTGCCACTCTCGTCTACACTTGGGTGCCACTCTCATCAACACTTGGGTGCCACTCTCATCAACACTTGGGTGCCACTCTCATCAACACTTGGATGTCACTCTCATCTACACTTGGGTGTCACTCTCTTCAACACTTGGGTGCCACTCTAATCTACACTTGGGTGTCACTCTCATCTACACTTGGGTGTCACTCTTATCAACACTTGGGTGCCACTCTCATCTACACTTGGGTGCCACTCTCATCAACACTTGGTTGCCACTCTCACATCAACACTTGGGTGCCACTCTCATCAACACTTGGGTGCCACTCTCATCAACACTTGGGTGCCACTCTCATCAACACTTGGTGCCACCTCGTCTACACTTGGGTGCCACTCTCATCAACACTTGGGTGCCACTCTCATCTACACTTGGGTGTCACTCTCATCAACACTTTGGTGCCACTCTCATCAACACTTGGATGTCCCTCTCATCAACATTTGGGTGCCATTCTCATCAACACTTGGGTGCCACTCTCATCAACACTTGGGTGCCACTCTCATCAACACTTTGGTGCCACTTTCGTCAACACTTGGGTGCCACTCTCATCAACACTTGGGTGTCACTCTCATCAACACTTTGGTGCCACTTTCGTCAACACTTGGGTGCCACTCATCAACACTTGGGTGCCACTCTCATCAACACTTGGGTGCCACTCTCATCAACACTTTGGTGCCGCTATCGTCACCACTTGGGTGCCACTCTCATCAACACTTGGGTGCCACTCTCATCAACACTTGGGTGACACTCTCATCAACACTTGGGTGCCACGCTCATCAACACTTTGGTGCCACTTTCGTCAACACTTGGGTGCCAATCTCATCAACACTTGGGTGCCACTATCACCTACACTTGGGTGCCACTCTCATCAACACTTGGGTGCCACTCTCATCAACGCTTGGGTGCCACTATCAGCTACACTTGGGTGCCACTCTCATCAACACTTGGGTGTCACTCTCATCAACACTTTGGTGCCACTTTCGTCAACACTTGGGTGCCACTCTCATCAACACTTTGGTGCCACTTTCGTGAACACTTGGGTGCCACTCTCATCAACAATTGGGTGCCACTCTCATCAACACTTGGGTGCCACTCTCATCAACACTTGGGTGCCAATCTCATCAACACTTGGGGTCCACTCCAATCAACACCTTGGTGCCACTTTCGTCAACACTTTGGTGCCACTCTCACCAACACTTGGGTGTCACTCTCATCAACACTTTGGTGCCACTTTCGTCAACACTTGGGTGCCACTCTCATCAACACTTGGGTGCCACTATCATCTACACTTGGGTGCCACTCTCATCAACACTTGAGTGCTACTCTCATCTACACTTGGGTGCCACTCTCATCAACACTTGGGTGCCACTCTCATCAACACCTGAGTGCCACTCTCATCTACACTTGGGTGCCACTCTCATCAACACTTGGGTGCCACTCTTATCAACACTTGAGTGCCACTCTTATCTACACTTGGGTGTCACTCTCATCAACACTTGGGTGCCACTCTCATCAACACTTGAGTGCCACTCCTATCTACACTTGGGTGTCACTCTCATCTACACTTGGGTGTCACTCTCATCTACGCTTTGGTGTCACTCTCATCTACACTTGGGTGCCACTCTCATCTACACTTGGGTGTCACTCTCATCTACACTTGGGTGTCACTCTCATCAACACTTGGGTACCACTTTCATCTACACTTGGGTGCCACTCTCATCTACACTTGGGTGTCACTCTCATCTACACTTGGGCGTCACTCTCATCTACACTTGGGTGTCACTCTCATCAACACTTGGATGTCACTCTCATCAACACTTGGGTGTCACTCTCATCTGCACTTGGGTGCCATTCTCATCGACACTTGGGTGCCACTCTCATCAACACTTGGGTGCCACTCTCATCAACACTTGGGTGCCACTCTCATCAACACTTGGGTGCCACTCTCATCAACACTTGGGTGCCACTCTCATCAACACTTGGGTGTCACTCTCATCAACACTTACGTGTCACTCTCATCAACACTTGGGTGCCACTCTCATCAACACTTGGGTGCCACTCTCATCAACACTTGGGTGCCACTCTCATCTACTCTTGGGTGTCACTCTCATCAACACTTGGGTGCCACTCTCATCAACACTTGGGTGCCACTCTCATCAACACTTGGGTGTCACTCTCATCAACACTTAGGTGTCACTCTCATCAACACTTGGGTGCCACTCTCAACACTTGGGTGCAACTCTCATCAACACTTGGGTGCCACTCTCATCTACTCTTGGGTGCCACTCTCATCAACACTTGGGTGCCACTCTCATCAACACTTGGGTGCCACTCTCATCAACACTTGGGTGCCACTCTCATCAACACTTGGGTGCCACTCTCATCAACACTTGGGTGTCACTCTCATCTACACTTGGGTGTCACTCTCATCAACACTTGGGTGCCACTCTCATCTACACTTGGGTGTCACTCTCATCTACACTTGGATGCCACTCTCATCAACACTTGGGTGTCACTCTCATCTACACTTGGGTGCCACTCTCATCAACACTTGGGTGCCACTCTCATCTACACTTGGGTGCCACTCTCATCTACACTTGGGTGTCACTCTCATCTACACTTGGGTGCATGTATAAAAGTTAGATAAATCAACATTCAAGGTTTCAAGAAGCTGACATCAACACTTGGGTGCCACTCTCATCTACACTTGGGTGCAACTCTCATCAACACTTGGGTGCCACTCTCATGAACATTTGGGTCCCACTCTCATCAACACTTGGGTGTCACTCTCATCAACCCTTGGGTGCCACTCTCATCAACACTTGGGTGCCACTCTTATCAACACTTGGGTGCCACTCTCATCTACACTTGGGTGTCACTCTCATCAACACTTTGGGGGCCACTCTCATCAACACTTTTGGGGGCCACTCTCATCAACACTTGGGTGCCACTCTCAACAACACTTGGGTGCCACTCTCATCAACACTTGGGTGTCACTCTCATCAACACTTAGGTGTCACTCTCATCAACACTTGGGTGCCACTCTCATCAACACTTGGGTGCCACTCTCATCAACACTTGGGTGCCACTCTCATCTACTCTTGGGTGTCCCTCTCATCAACACTTAGGTGTCACTCTCATCAACACTTGGGTGCCACTCTCATCAACACTTGGGTGCCACTCTCATCAACACTTGGGTGCCACTCTCATCAACACTTGGATGTCACTCTCATCTACACTTGGGTGTCACTCTCATCAACACTTGGGTGCCACTCTCATCTACACTTGGGTGTCACTCTCATCTACACTTGGGTGTCACTCTTATCAACACTTGGGTGCCACTCTCATCTACACTTGGGTGCCACTCTCATCAACACTTGGGTGCCACTCTCATCAACACTTGGGTGCCACTCTCATCAACACTTGGGTGCCACTCTTATCAACACTTGGGTGCCACTCTCATCAACACTTGGGTGCCACTCTCGTCTACACTTGGGTGCCACTCTCATCAACACTTGGGTGCCACTCTCATCTACACTTGGGTGCCACTCTCATCAACACTTGGGTGCCACTCTCATCAATACTTGGGTGCCACTCTCATCAACACTTGGGTGCCACTCTCATCAACACTTGGGTGTCACTCTCATCAACACTTTGGTGCCACTTTCGTCAACACTTGGTGCCACTGTCATCAACACTTGGATGTCCCTCTCATCAACATTTGGGTGCCATTCTCATCAACACTTGGGTGCCACTCTCATCAACACTTGGGTGCCACTCTCATCAACACTTTGGTGCCACTTTCGTCAACACTTGGGAGCCACTCTCATCAACACTTGGGTGTCACTCTCATCAACACTTTGTTGCCACTTTCGTCAACACTTGGGTGCCACTCTCATCAACACTTGGGCGTCACTCTCATCAACACTTTGGTGCCACTTTCGTCAACACTTGGGTGCCACTCATCAACACTTGGGTGCCACTCTCATCAACACTTGGGTGCCACTCTCATCAACACTTTGGTGCCGCTTTCGTCACCACTTGGGTGTCACTCTCATCAACACTTTGGTGCCACTTTCGTCAACACTTGGGTGCCACTCTCATCAACACTTTGGTGCCACTTTCGTGAACACTTTGGTGCCACTTTCGTCAACACTTGGGTGCCAATCTCATCAACACTTGGGTGCCACTATCATCTACACTTGGGTGCCACTCTCATCAACACTTTGGTGCCGCTTTCGTCACCACTTGGGTGCCACTCTCATCAACACTTTGGTGCCACTTTCGTCAACACTTGGGTGCCACTCTCATCAACACTTGGGTGCCACGCTCATCAACACTTTGGTGCCACTTTCGTCAACACTTGGGTGCCAATCTCATCAACACTTGGGTGCCACTATCATCTACACTTGGGTGCCACTTTCATCAACACTTGGGTGCCACTCTCATCAACGCTTGAGTGCCACTATCATCTACACTTGGGTGCCACTCTCATCAACACTTGGGTGTCACTCTCATCAACACTTTGGTGCCACTTTCGTCAACACTTGGGTGCCACTCTCATCAACACTTTGGTGCCACTTTCGTGAACACTTGGGTGCCACTCTCATCAACAATTGGGTGCCACTCTCATCAACACTTGGGTGCCACTCTCATCAACACTTGGGTGCCAATCTCATCAACACTTGGGTGCCACTCTCATCAACACCTTGGTGCCACTTTCGTCAACACTTTGGTGCCACTCTCATCAACACTTGGGTGTCACTCTCATCAACACTTTGGTGCCACTTTCGTCAACACTTGGGTGCCACTCTCATCAACACTTGGGTGCCACTATCATCTACACTTGGGTGCCACTCTCATCAACACTTGAGTGCTACTCTCATCTACACTTGGGTGCCACTCTCATCAACACTTGGGTGCCACTCTCATCAACACCTGAGTGCCACTCTCATCTACATTTGGGTGCCACTCTCATCAACACTTGGGTGCCACTCTTATCAACACTTGAGTGCCACTCTCATCTACACTTGGGTGTCACTCTCATCAACACTTGGGTGCCACTCTCATCAACACTTGAGTGCCACTCTCATCTACACTTGGGTGTCACTCTCATCTACACTTGGGTGTCACTCTCATCTACACTTTGGTGTCACTCTCATCTACACTTGGGTGCCACTCTCATCTACACTTGGGTGTCACTCTCATCTACACTTGGGTGTCACTCACATCAACACTTGGGTGTCACTCTCATCAACACTTGGGTACCACTTTCATCTACACTTGGGTGCCACTCTCATCTACACTTGGGTGTCACTCTCATCTACACTTGGGCGTCACTCTCATCTACACTTGGGTGTCACTCTCATCAACACTTGGATGTCACTCTCATCAACACTTGGGTGTCACTCTCATCTCCACTTGGGTGCCATTCTCATCGACACTTGGGTGCCACTCTCATCTACACTTGGGTGCCACTCTCATCTACACTTGGGTGTCACTCTCATCAACACTTGGGTGCCACTCTCATCTGCACTTGGGTGCCATTCTCATCAACACTTGGGTGTCACTCTCATCTACACTTGGGTGCCACTCTCATCAACACTTGGGTGCCACTATCATCAGCACTTGGGTGCCACTCTCATCAACACTTGGGTGCCACTATCATCAGCACTTGGGTGCCACTCTCATCAACACTTGGGTGTCACTCTCATCAACACTTGGGTGCCACTCTCATCAACACTTGGGTGCCACTATCATCAGCACTTGGGTGCCACTCTCATCAACACTTGGGTGCCACTATCATCAGCACTTGGGTGCCACTCTCATCAACACTTGGGTGTCACTCTCATCAACACTTGGGTGCCACTCTCATCAACACTTGGGTGCCACTATCATCAGCACTTGGGTGCCACTATCATCAGCACTTGGGTGCCACTATCATCAACACTTGGGTGCCACTATCATCAGCACTTGGGTGCCACTATCATCAACACTTGGGTGCCACTATCATCACACTTGGGTGCCACTCTCATCAGCACTTGGGTGCCACTCTCAACAACACTTGGGTGCTACTCTCATCAACACTTGGATGCCACTATCATCAGCACTTGGGTGCCACTCTCATCAGCACTTGGGTGCCACTCTCATCAACACTTGGGTGCCACTATCATCAACACTTGGGTGCCACTATCATCACACTTGGGTGCCACTATCATCAGCACTTGGGTGCCACTATCATCTACGTGATTTTCATGCAACATCTAGCATATTAGGAAGAAAATTAGCTGTTACATTTAAAAATCTCTCTGACCTATGAGATTACTTTACAGAAAAGTAAATCAGAGTACCCAAGGTCAAATTTATTAAGAAAAGTAACAATTATTTACAAGAATTCTTTTATTACGGTATAACATGCGACACATAACAGAGATCACAATTACAAGGATTGGGAAAAAACGGTCGCAGTGGTAAATATGCCCAAAATTCGATACAAGTCATAGGCAACAAGTTAGAAAACGGAGATGTCAGCGACGATGTCAGCAGCATTGGAGGGGTAAAGGTGACTGAAAAAGGCATCAGAGGTGGTACCATCAGCAGTGATAGCAAGAGTCAAAGTATCGCTATCCAAGCTATGTCCTAAGTAATTCCAACCCAGAGGTCATAAGTAGGTGGCGTTACGTCTTTAACTACAATCCAAACAATATTCATAATCCATTAATTAGCCACAGCAAATTTTGACTAAAAAGGAAATTTTCCTACTAGTTATGACGGAAAAAAGGAAAGACAATGCTGGATTTTTAGTTCGGCAAAGCCGCTTTAACTAACCCACTATTGTACGGCGACTCAGTGTTGGGAAATCTAACGTTTAAGGATGTACACAAAATGACTCGGAAAAAAATCAAATAATTCTCCAGCGTTTTAAAAACCTTAATTAATGCGGTGACTACATTAAGGGATGTGTTCCTCGGGAATTCGACTAAACATTTTGTCATTGGTAAGTGTATGAGGAAATGATCAGCAGATAACTATGGCATGTTTTTATGAATCTGTGTATTGTTTACCACTTATTTAACGAAGACTAAGAATAGCTCTATATACTCTAGCTTTATTGAAATCTTTACTTTCATGTATATATTCTTGACGTAGCAGTTTGTAATGCTTTAAGAATATAGTAAATAATAATATTATGTTCGAATTATGCCCATGAGCCAAGATTCGCATGTCTATGGTGAGCAGAACTAACTGCAAGAGATTGCCATCATCCATAATTTCGATTCAAAATATATACTTTTATTGCTACATCCTCTCCACATTTGTTATTAACCTTTCTGCCATAATATATGCTGTCATGTTGCAATACAAATTATTACACACTTTACATAACCATTCTTACTTTCTGGGGCAGTGGATGTGGTGGACTACTGGATAGGTGGGACAGACGAGGAAAAAGAGGGTGTTTATCGATGGCACTCAACTGGCGACCTCATCCCCGTTGAAGTTCCCTTCTGGTACCCTGGTCAACCCGATGGTTATGTGAGTGAGAACCATCTCTCCCTCTCCAAGACAGGTTACTTTGCTGACGAGAAAGGCTCTTTGTTGCAGAAGTTTATCTGCCAACTGCTGTAAATGCTCTGTTAGTGTGTCCGTATCTATCTCAAGTACTGTGAATATTTTGATAATCTGTCCGTATCTCCATTTTTCTCTGAGTTTCTTAACTACTTACAGGATGGGTTGCTTTGCTAACAACAACAATGACTAGGAATTAAAGGTTCTCTCATTTTCTGTTTTTTTTTTCCTATTTTACAGTCTTTCTTCTATAGCTCCTTCCCTCTTTGTCGATAAAGCAATCTTCCTTAGTTCCTGGTGGACGAAACTTCAAATAAAATACCATAACCCGAACAATGTGTCATTATCACGAGAGAGAGAGGTGATGTAAGTTCAGCGGTTCCAGAGGATGAAGTCTGATGTATGGCCTTGCGAAATTGTAATAACACGACTGTAAACAAATCACGGAACGGGCGGGGGTTTGAATCCATGGAAAGTGGGTCCTAAAACTCAAAGGCTGGCCGAGTTGTTAACGCACTGACCTGTACGTGTCAGGACTCACTTGCCATGGATTGAAGCCCCGCCCGTTCCGTGCTCTGATATATGGACAAACGATGAGGTGGGAAGGAGGAAGTCGAGTGTCTGGATGATGCTGAATTACAAAAACAAACTTAAGGCTGGTAGTCAATGTTTCTTTTCCTCCAACCCCTCCTCGATTATTATTATTATTATATTCAAAACCAAGATCTAAACATATAGGTAATAGAGATTATCTCCGAAAACGTGATGTACGTTGCTACGCGATCCGAGAATAGCATCCCCGTATTGCATAACCCCCAGCCGCCAGTGCCTTTATGCACGCGATAGCAAGTGTAATGCGGCATAGGTCTATAATGCAGTTAAACAGTGCGGTGAGGACCACCAGAGCTCCATGAAGACCGCGGAAGGTGGCATTGAAATAAGAGACCAAAGAAAGAAGAAATGAAAGAATAAAGATTTCAAGGATGTATATACAATTTCCTTCAACAAATTATGTATGGTTCTAGAAAGTAGTAATGCTGACCACAAGAATCATTCTAGGTGGCACATTGCTCAAGTGGTAGGGCCCTAGGTCAGTGCCTGATTTATCTATAGGCTTGAAAGGCCTCAAAATCTAGGAGGCGTCCAGCCAAGGTGTATAATATTTTTGACACTGTCATAGGCCTTTCTTACACATGCTGTCATAACGCACTGTAGTCTCTAAACAACACTTCAGTAACGTTCCTTCCACTCCATTTCAGAATAATACTGTCTTAAACAATAATTCCACACTATATTGACTTCTGTATTGATTTTGTCCCCCCAGGAAAGCAGTGAGATAGGTAAGTTGAAAACACAGCTTCAAAGCAAGAGGAACAAATAAAAGCAGAAGGGCAACACTGGCGACATGTCATGGACAGAATTATCACTGTAATTTGCATGTGAAGGCTTACTCATCCCTGTAACAACTTCAGTCAGTATTACTAAGGCTGGCTCCTCCTCAGGAAAATTAATGCATAGAAAAAGAACAAAAACTGACAAACATAAACACTTTATTATTTAAGAAATATAAAATATAAAACACTTAAATATGAAATATTAATCCTACATTAAAGAAAATGAAAAATGAAAAATATAAATGATAACTGAATTCAACGCTAATATAAATGTATATAAAACGTGGGTGTCTGGTGTTGGTGACACTGCGTGTTGTTGAAATCGTAGCCGTTGCTGGTGATGGGAGGGGGGGGGGTCGCAGGTGTTGATGACAACCCATCGGCTCATTCTTCACAGATTTTCTAGCTTTCAATAATCCTTCCAGATGACAAGAAAGCAGGTTTTCTCCACTGCAATGATGAGGGGTTATATCCTGCTACTTGCATACACAAACAGGTAAGTGGATCAAAATTTGGGACATCTCAGAACGTGAGTCCGTCTCCTTCAATTCTACTCGTTGATTGGCAGGTGACCCTCTCTGTCATCCAAGCTGGAAAGATAGACAGATTACCCACTGCTGAAGAAATCACTCTCCATGATAAGTACAATACCTAAAAGATGTGGTGATCATTACAACAGTCAACTTTGAGCAAGACTGAAAGGACTAAGTTTATTATTGGTCGAAAGTGAAGCTTTCAACCAATAAATCCACTAGAATACAAGGCAGGCATGTACTTACAGTAGTGCTGGGAGCTGTGAGTCTAGTGATTACTGTTTGGACCGGAGCCCCACACATCACCTTTCGGGGGGGGAAAGAAGGAGGGGAAGGGAAAGCAGGAGCTAGACTGACCCTACCTTAACAAGCAGCCGGCCATCAAACTATCACTTTAGGGGTGGGGGAAAAAAGGCGGGAACAGCGGGAGCTAGACTTACCTTACCTTAACAAGTAGCCGGCAAGCAAACTATCACTTTCGGGGAGGGGGAAAAAGGGGGGCGGGAATAGTGGGAGCTGGACTTACCCTACCTTAACAAGTAGCCGGCAATGAAACTATCGTTACTATATCGCAACTCCTATCTATTGAACTTTTCCCTCACACTCCCCCATACCAAGACTTATAGTCAAGGAGTATAAGAAGAATAGGCGAGGAAAAAGTTCTAACATGTGGAAGTCATGTAAGGCAACAAATCTTCTTCTGACTGTCATGACTTAACCAGTCAGAGAAATAACTGGATGAACCATTGATATACACAATATGGAACTTAAAAGCCTGGAGTGCCAATGTCCACCTCAAGAGGCGACTGTTGGTTCCCTTAAAAGTTTCTAGGTATATCAAAGGTTTGTGGTCCGTTTCTAAAATGAATTCTTTTCCCAGCAAATAAAATTTAAGTTTGGAGATACCCCACACAAGGGCCAAACATTCCTTTTCTATGGTGGAGTATCTCGTTTCTGCGGGAAGGAGTTTCCGGCTCAGGAAGCATACAGAGAAGGGAGTACCATCATGGTATTGTAGTAGCACCACACCTAAGCCAGTATTGGAGGCATCAGTTCTTAAACAAAATGTTTTATTAATATCTGGAATCTTAAGTATAGGGTCTTTCAAAAAGATACTTTTAATCTCATTAAACTTTTCCCGAGCTACGTCAGAAAGTTCAAGAGGTTCCTTCACAGACTTTTTAAGGGAGTCGGATAAGATGCCTGTAAGATCAGTAAGGTTCGGGATAAACCGTGCATAAAAATTTACAGAACCAAGAAAGCTACGCATGAGCTTCTTGGTTTTGGGGAATTTAAATTCTAATAAAGCTTTGATCTTACTGGGGAGAGGCTGCAGAGAGTTATTAGAAAGTATCAGTCCAAGATATCTAATCTTGTTATACCCAAGGAAGCATTTCTTCGGCTTGGCAGTGAGGCCATGTGAGCGTAACGTACGCAAAACTGATGTTAATGTTTGGATATGTTCGCCCCACATGGATGTCATTACGTAAATGTTATCAAAATAAACTGAAACATTTGGCATATTACCCAAGACCTTTCTCATCAGTCTCACGTAGGTAGCACAGGCAGTTACCAAACCGAAGGGCATAGTTCTATACTGCATCAGTCCTTGGTGGGTAGGAAAAGCTGTGTACTGCTTAGAAGAAGGATCTAACATTACTTGATGATATGCCTGCACAATATCAATCTCTGAAAAGAAGGAAGCGTCATAAAATTTGTGTAGATCGCTATCTATCAAGGGCATAGGTTCAGCATCCCACCGAGTGATAGCATTAAGGCCTCTGAAGTCAATAGCAAGTCTATATGAATTATCCTCCTTCTTAACCATGACTACTGGTGAGCAATATGCAGATACTGAAGGTTCAATGATCTTTAGTTTTAATAATTTGTCTACCTCTCGGTCAAATGCATCCCTAAGGTGAACTGGAACTGGGTATAATTTTCGTTTGATAGGATTGTCCGTCACTAAGTCAATCTTATGGACTACCATGGAGGTAACACCTGGAATATCAGTAAAAACGTCTGAAAAGTTACTCACACATTGAAGTAGTTCATGTCTCTTATGGTCATCCAAAGATTCATTAATATTAATGTTGGTTGCGCCCGAGTGGTCAAGAGTCACCAAGTCATGTAGTTCTTCATCATAGTCTAAGTTAGAGATGTCAATTACGCATACTTTACATTCTTCAGTTGTCTTATCAAGTTCGTATGGAAAAACTAAGTCAAAGTTATTAAGGCAGTTAACCGAATTTCTTCGGTAATATTTCTTAAGGATGTTGATATGATAAAGCTTGGGTTTTTCCCCTTGACTTCTATGAGGTAGTCAACTTTCCCACAAATTTTTAATACTTATATGGACCTTTCCATGCTACTAATAATTTATTTGACTTGATAGGCAAAAGTACCAGAACTTCATCCCCTACTTTAAAACTTCTCCTCTGACTTTTGGAATCAAAATAGGTTTTGCACTGGTCCATTGACAAGCTTAAGTTTTTCAAAACTATGTCAGAGGTCTCCTCAAGTTTGGATCTAAGGTCAAGGAGAAACTGGTAAGAAGACTGAACCTCAGCATTTACCTCCTCATTAGTCCATAAGTCATGAAGGATGGACAATGACCTCTGGGCCTGTCTACCATAGAGAAGTTCAAAAGGTGAAAACCCCAGAGTCACTGGGAACTTCCCTCATGGCAAACAAAGCACAGGGTACGTAACGATGCCACTCCTTAGGTTTAAGGGAGCAAAGTTTCCTTAAAATGGACTTGATAATCGAATGCTGGCGCTCAATCCTCCCATTACAGCTGGGATGATAGGGTGTTGTGATAGAGAGGCTTCACTCCCAGAAGTTGGTATAATGTTGCATTAAGTCAGATGTGAATTGGTCCCACGGTCAGAACAAAATTTCTCTAGGGATGCCCACTCTGGAGAAATGGATAAAAGGGCTTCAGCCACCTCTGTAGTAGTTATGGTCTTTAAGGAACGGCTTCAGGAAACTCGAAGCATAATCAACTAATGTTAATATATATCTATGTCCCCCAGATGAAAGTGGAGATAAAGGACCAACTATGTCAATACTACTCTTTCAAAGGGTACCGTAAAGACTGGCATTTTGACCATAGGTACTCGCCTGGTACCTCGGAGGATGACATTTGGCAAACTTTACACGATCTACAATAGGTAAATACATCTGAGGACATTTTTGGCCAAAATAGGTTTTCCCTAATTTTATTTAAGGTTTACGATGCGAGAAATGTCCGCTACTGGCAGTCATGAGCCATTTTAAGAACAGTCTCTCTGCATTGACTTGGAACCAACTAAATGGAATAGTCTATCTCCTCTGAATTTAATTTGAATACTGACTTGTACAAGATACCTATTATATATTCAAATTTATATGAAAAATTTTTCCTTTG